TTAAATTGAAATTTTTTTAAATTATTATTTTATTAATATCAGTCACGAAAGTCAATTCAAATTTTTAATGTACACTCAAAAAATATAATATTTATTAAAAAAAAATTTAGCATTGAGTTTAAATATAGAAAATTACCATATTATTATTGCGAACCTATAAGCTTGAAAAATTTTGATCATAATCATCAACTTTGCAATAGATCCACCGAGGAGTCCTGCTTATTTTGCACAAAAAGGTGTGATCACCACGTTCTGCTCCATGAGATGTAGTTATCTTTGATGAGTTAAACACCAGCAGTGGATCGAGATTATTTGAATTATGTAAAAAGATATAACTGTTTGCATCATTAAAGATATATTTTCCTTATAGTTGTGATATAAGATTTTTCATAACATTTGAAAAAAATAAAAATAAAACAACAAGAACAAGAATTAAGAAACAAGAACCAAGGATTCTTTGACCAGATTATTAGGAAGGGAAATCAAATGAAGTGATTGAATGAAAAATCATTGAGTAAAGAAAAATCAGACGAAAGAGGGAAAGAGAATGAATGTGAAGTTATTGGGAAGTGAGTCAAAAGAATTTTGCTCTTATACCATAGTACTGAGTTAAGAAAAAGGTTTATCATCACCATCATCATCTCCTCTTTAATAAGATAAACTAAGTATCTATAGATACACATCAAAGCATTAAAGATAATGTAGACTAATTAACAACTAATTAATAACTAATTGGCTAATTAACATAAAAGAAAAGATAACAACCAACTAATTTACACCTTTAATATCTGTCAAACAACTTGTGGAGAGCTTAATTTCAAAAATGATTCATGAGTTTTAATTCTTTTCTCAATGCGATTTATGATCTTCCTCTTATAATCAAGTTCCTGTTTATTTTCTTGTTTAACTCAATTATATCGTTAACTTATCTGTTAAATAAATATAATTCTTAACATGATAATTACGTTATTAAAAACTTATGATATAGATATGTGTGTATTAATTTTTTTTCATGTTATGATTATATAAAAAAAAATTATCTTTAAAATTAATAAATTTAGATGATAAAAAATTATATTTATTATTTTTTTATATTAGATTTTTAATTCAATAACAAGTCTACTTCAAAAAATTGTTTTTCATTATGAATTAATTTGTTTTTTTCACATAAATCTCATTTGTTTAAAACTTTATTTGAAACTACAGTATTCTTTTACTTTATTTCACAATGTTTTCTAGTGAAAAAATATAAAATTTAAACTTCAACTTTTAAAAAATGTTTAAATTATAACTTTATTTTTTTAGTGTAAATCAACTAACAATTTCTAAAAATGTAAAAATTACCTTTGTGCTATGAGAAAAAAGTTAACATTATTTAATATCAGCAAACTTGGACGATGATATCATTTGTATTAATACATGAGGATAGCACGTAAATGATACATGATGTTTACATGGACTCATATAAAAAGGGCTTAATATGTCCTCTAAAAACCAAAATCCCCATACTTTTATCTCACGACTTTCAAAACTCATCCTCCAACTTCGTCCCCAATCATCCACCTACGAGCTTCTAACTTCAAAGCATCTATGCTAATGATTGCATCTTTTTAAAAATCCATTGTGCGACCTATCTGCTAAGGAAACACATTGCTTAGCCCATCAATGTCCATATGGAACTATATACAAATGGTTGCATCCGTACCATAGAAACCAAAATTTTCATATTTCTATCTCACCACCTTTGAAACCACCATCCATCATCGTCCTTAATCATCCACCTATAGGTTTCTACCTTGAAGCATCGTCGCTGGTGGTTACGTCTTCTAAATACATTGCGAGACATAATATATACGACTAATTAATATCTATTACTTAAATTCAATAATAACATGAACTTTGATTTTTATCTTTTTTTAGTAGGAGAACTCTAATGTCGTTACCAAAAAATAATTGATTAAATAAAAGAATGATTGTACTCCACAAATTATGCATGTTTATTTATTTTGACCTCCTTATGTTCATTTAATTTTAAAATTATTTTTGACTCATATAGATAGTTGGCTTTTTATTTTATATAACCACAAGTTTACTAATCACACCTTAACCTGCCAAAATGCAAGCCATTTTGGGCTTAAATGAAACAAACACAAGACTTAGGTATATGTGTTGACACATATTTAATATCCATGACATATGTGTTTACATAAGTATACTTAATATTAATTTTTTTTCTTCAGCATAATTAACTTTAATTTTTAGATCACAAATCATATCCACAACTAAGTTGTATCATCAAAAGAATGAAGGTCATTTCAACAATACAAAATGAGGTAGCAAGGAACACGTACTATATTATCCAGAAAATTTTAAGAAACACACAATATTTATGAACAACAGTAATAAATAATATCACTTTTCACAAAATAATTCAACAATAATAATATAAATTACAAATATACCACAATAGTAACAAAAAAGTTTAATTGTCACTATTTGCTCATCACTAAAACTTCAACATTTGTAGCGTAATAAACAACTATTTTATTATTTTCAAATCTTATTTCTATACAGAAATCATAAATAAAATAAAAGTATTATATTTAAATATTATATGTTAAGTTTGTCTAGTACAAGAATTAACAAAAATAAATATAAAATCTTTATTCTACTTATGTTTGGATTTTACTTTTATTATTTTTTATTATCCAAAAGAAAGTAAAAAAAATAAAAAGAAAAATGAGAAAAAGTGAGTGAGTAAAAAAATTAAGAGGGATAATCTCCTCAACTATAATACTCATTTTATATTCTTATTGTTTTCTCATTCTTTACTTTTTTTTTTTTTTTTTGTTTTTTGGTTTGGTTGCAACTTGTTCCCCTTCTCAAGCTCCCTCCACTCTCTCTTTCTCTTCATTTTTCTATTTTCCTTCTCTATTTGTCTTCCCTCCCTCTCTTTCTTTGTTGTTTCTCTATTATTTCCCTTTTGTCTTCTTCTTGCTAATGTATATATATATATTCTCATCTTCTGTCAAAATTCTCGATTTCTCAAGCTCAATACCATAACTCTCTTATCCTTCATTTTTTCCTCACAACCCTTTGAAATTAAAGTTTGTCTCTCTATTTTTGTTTGCTTTTCAAAACCACATTCCTCCCATCTCTTAAGCTTCTTTTTCCCCTCTTCCTTTTGTCTCTAAATCAAAACCAAAATAATTTTTTTTTTTTTTAAAGAGAAGTTATAAATTCATAAAGGACAATTGCCGAATTAATAATGATCACTAAAAAAATTAATTATGTGATTATTTACTGTAAGCAAATTAAATAAAAGAAGATGGAAGAAAAATAAATAAAAAATAAAGATATATATATATATGTATTTTAAAGACTTATGAGTTTGTTAATTAAAATTGAGAAAAATTGGTATTTTCATTTTTTGATGCCTCAACCTTGTGAACAATTCTCAACAATTTGGTGCGTAATTTTCAATGCTGATTTTATTTATTTATTTATTACCAGATAAATTGTTGTTGTGATAGGTTTTTTTATACAAAAAAAAAATATGTAATATTTTTGTGGCAATTTCAAAATGTTATATTTATATATATATATATATATATGCTGTTATTACTGCTTATTTATTTATTCATTTTATGTCACATTACGCTTTACAGTGACAAATTTTTAGTGACCTTAAATATTTTATACCAATAAATATATATTATGATGAATATTATTATTCTTCACAAAACAATAACATCAGCGTTAATACTACACTAATAACGAAAATTGTAATTTGCCATTAATTATTATAGTATAATAAATGACTATAGATTTCCAGCAACTAAAATCTTCCATTATTTTCAAATATTATTACGTTGACCCAAACATTCACCCAGCCATCAAGTCGAAGCTGACCCAATAGTTAGACTCTCCAAAACGTTGCCGTTCTGGGAGCCTCCCTTCTTTTCCCTAGGAGGAACTACAAAAGAAAACGCAGCATGTTTCTTCCTTCACTCCGCTTCTCCACAGCCAAAAGAGCAAAGCGGCGAGGCAATGAGACAGGAAGACAACGGCACGTCTATCAGGAGAAGCAGAAGAAACAACAAGGCAACAGAGCAGCGAAGAAGATAAGACAAGGAGACAACCTTTTAGTGAAGGTCAAGGGGCGAGTTTGAAAGAAGAACCAGGTCAGAGTAAGATATAGAGGCCGAAAAGGGGAGAGCTCTAAACAAAATAGGGGATTTTCTGGTTCAAATTGAAACATTTAGGGAACTGTTAGAGAGGTTAGCAGAAACCTGCGGGAGATACGACGATGGGAAAGAAAACTGGGAGCAGTTCAAGGTCGTCGGTGGTTAGCCCCAAAATCTTGAATCTTCGAATCGATTCGTGCAAGCATAAATATTCAACCTCTGACGAAGTGGTGGAATATCTCCGCTCTAATTTCTCCGAGTATGCTCGTCTTAAGCACCTGCCGTTGAAACGACGGGTTGAGCAAATCCTTCAGTCCAGGAATACCCCTTTTATCTTCCAACGGCAAGACCATGAGGGTGACGACGACGATGATGATGGCGATGAGCAAGTAGACCTTTCTCGCAAGAAACGAAGTAGGGCCCTTGAGAGTGAACATAGGTTGCAGAACCTCGAGAATTTGCACCTCCAAAGGAGACGAGCTCATGCTTGTCGGGACGCATCATCTGATGAAGAAGATGGGTCTGTTTCCACGTCGGAGGATGCTGTCTATGGGCAGAAATTGGAACCCCAGTTCGACCTCACCAAGTCCATGCTACGGGCTAATTACTCCGCTTCCAACAAGAAACCAAAGCCCACTGCTGAAGAGAAGAATGTAGAAGTCGAGATAGCCAGTGAAAAGATGAAAATCAAGATGGATATGAACCCAAGCATAAAAAAAGATGCCAAGGCTTCTGTTTCTTCTGGTTGTGGCAGAGTTCTGGAAGGGACCGGAAAGAGAGGGCCAAGATTCAGCGACTTGGGGGGATTGAGGAGCGTGTTGGAGGAGCTGATGATGGAAGTCATAATTCCGCTCCACCATCCGCAGTTGCCGCAGTGGCTGGGTGTGAGACCCATTGCTGGAATTCTGCTGCATGGCCCACCTGGATGCGGCAAGACCAAACTGGCTAATGCCATTGCGAACGAGACTGGCGTCCCCTTCTACCAGATTTCTGCTACTGAGGTTGTCTCTGGTGTCTCTGGTATGCAGCGTCTCTGCTTTTCACCCAATTAAGATTTTTCTTCGACTTGCTGCTTTATAGACTTGTATTACACTTTTTAAGTTTGTACTAGGAATATTTGAAAGGTAATGATGCAAACTGAAAACATTCCTTTTGCTGTTGTTATACTATAGATCAGTAGAAAGTATTGCTTTCTAAAAGGAAAAAAATCACAAATAAAAATGTCAAGAATATCAGAAATGAATTCATGCTTAAAATCAGTGCTGAGAAGTTTGTTTATTACTTGTGAGTTTCCACCCAATCCGGGGATGTAATTCTATGGCTTCTTTTCATCATTAGATCAATCTCTCTACAATGCAACCTCCTATTGGTTCATCTTACAGGAGTTGGACTTCTGATGCAGAATGAAATATTTTGGCTGTAGAAAATATTTTTTTAATTATTATTAAATCTGAATTATATAGGCTACTCATAAATTGTAGTTAGTTTTAGTAGGTTTTGAATTTAACTGATCTTTACTATTGAGATATGTTACTTGTTGATTGTGATTAGGTTTGTAATTAGTTCATAATAACCGCTGCTAACCTAGACAATAGGAGACAAAGATGAACTAAAGAATACTTCCAGGGTTAAGTTCCTCATTACCTTTGTGTTCTCTGTTCTGATCCATTTTTGTTTTCTAGCAAGTACTATTTATCTCTCTATATTTCCTTTTTTTTTTTGAGATAATCTCTCTATATTTCCTTATCTTAGTTCCTGCTCTTATGTTTGTCATTTGTCCTGTTCTTTTGTTATCTTACTTTAGTTTCCTCTAACTCTATAGTATTTTGATAAGTTGTTTCCAAACTGTACTTGTCCTACATCAATTTTGCTTCAGAACTTACATGTGCTACATCAATTTGGTCTCAAGTCCTACTTGTCCTATGTGATGGGGATAAAGCCACCCGACCATATGGTTTCTCTATGGTTTTTCTCCAAAAAAATTGGAATCTTGTCTGCTGTGTTCTTTGTGGGCTATTTGATGAATTCTTTGACTTCAGAAAGTTTGTTGATTCCTTGAACTCTACCTTCTAAATATTGAGGATGTTGACAATATAAAGGACTAGAGGCCAATTAGCCTAGTGAGTAGTTTCTAACTAATAGGCAAGGTGCTTGCATTAAGGCTAAAAGGGTGGTCAGATCAATTGTTGGGAAGCCCGATAGACTTTTTTGAAGGCTGTTACTCTTTAGATGCCCCATTGATTGCCAAAGAGGGAGTAAATTCAATCGTCCACTTGAGGGGAATGGGTTTGATGTATAAGTTGGGATGTTGAACATGTAAACAACTACAAACAAGTGGCTTGGTTTTTCTTTGAGCATCTTTTAGATTCCTCACAATATGGAAGAAATATATTTTTAAGATGTATAATCTCTTCCACATTTGTAGTTTTGATCAATGATGGCAGACTAATTTCGTACACTCTTTTAAGGGATTATGGAGGCTTTTAATAAAGCACTGATGTAGGCTAGAGATTCGTACTTGATCCAAGACTGAATATTGGGAGGGTGGGAGAAGAAAAGTGGTATTTCACTTACTTTTTGCCGATAATTCTCTTCTGTTTTGCAGGTGAAATTGGGACAAATTGTGTAACCTCAGATGCTTGCTTGTATGCCTTGAGGTGTTTTCTGGCATTAAGTCTACTCGGAAAAGTCTGCTAGTTGCTTTTGGGGAAATGTGAGAGTCCTAGGATGTCAAGTTAACAAGTTGCCAATTAAATATCCAGGTTAATATGTCAAATAGAGCTTTAGTAGATTTCCTACTACCTTTCTTTAGATAAAAGAGTTGGCTGATACCTTCTTAACTCACTTAAATATTGAGAGTTTTCAAGTGTTGCCATGAGCAACTTTTCATGTAGCCGAAAAAAAATCCCTTTTCGTAAAGCTGTTAGGACATGATGTTTTTCTTGTTATTGTTTAGCTATTTATACGGAATGACATTTCTCTTTTCCTATTATGAAGCTAGAAGCTCTTTTAATTTATATTGAGGCTAAGCACTCTTGAGGATTTTACTAAAATAATCTTTCCTAATAGACCTTTTTATACCCTTGATTTTGTTTGTTTTCTGATGGGTTTGCCTTTATCCATTTTAAAAGCTAGTTGCTGCTTGTTTGTGGCTGGTTCAGCACAACCATTTCTTTAAGCTTTTGGTTGGGGTCCTGCAATACCTGATAACAGGAAGCTATTTATGAAGTTATGTTGTCACCTTAATAGAACTATATTCTTGTCTATTTGGTTCCCAAAAAATATACATAGTTATTTCTGGTCAATGTTGTGAAATTTTTTAGGTGCATCAGAAGAAAATGTTAGAGAGCTCTTCTCCAAGGCATACAGGACTGCACCGTCTATTGTATTTATTGATGAGATTGATGCAATTGCTTCCAAGAGAGAAAATCTACAGAGGGAGATGGAGAGACGAATTGTAACACAATTGATAACTTGTATGGATGAATCTCATAGACTTGGTCTACCAAGGGATAAAGATCCAAACACAGCAAAGTCTGATTCTTTACCTGGCTATGTCCTTGTGATTGGGGCTACTAATAGACCTGATGTTGTTGACCCTGCATTAAGAAGGCCTGGAAGATTTGACCGTGAGATTGTTCTAGGTGTTCCGGATGAGATTGCAAGAGTTGAGATTCTCTCTGTGCTGACACGCAACCTTAGATTAGAGTGTTCTTTCGATCTTGTGAAAATAGCCAGGTTGACACCAGGATTTGTTGGAGCCGATTTGGCTGCTCTTGCTAACAAGGCTGGTAATCTTGCAATGAAGAGAATCATTGATACAAGGAAGTCTGAGCTTTCAAGAGATTCTATAGATGAGGAACATAACGATGAGTGGTGGAGACAGCCATGGTTGCCTGAAGAGATGGAGAAGCTAACTATCTCATTGGCTGATTTTGAGGTAGTCTAATCTATGTTATTCAAAATTTTCTCTAGACAAAAAGATTTTTTATATACCTTTCATTTTATCACATAGCTGTTGGAGGTAAAGGTTTTCAAATAATTCCTTATCCTCATAATCATAGGGTTTAAGATTGTTTTGTCATCAATTGGTTCGTATTCATCATACTAATGTTGGAAGTAGAGGTTTTTGAATAATCTCTGATACTCGTAATTATGTATAGGGTTTAAGCTTGTCTATTCATGAATGGTTTCACCATTTGCATGTATCAGTGTGACTGTTAAGTAAGATTGATAAAATTCCTGTCTTTTCATCTTTATTAAATGCACATAACTAATTTTGCAAATGCATGACCTTTATGTATTTGATGCTTTTATGGTGATTTGCTTGGTTTTCGTTATATATTGCTTATTTGCAGTTCATTAACGTTTGAAAATTGCTTAGTAAAATTACTAAATTACTTTTCTTAACACTGACATGGCTTTCATTTGATATCATCTGCCATCTTTTCTCTGTGTTTTTTTTATTCTTCGCAGGAGGCTGCAAAAATGGTGCAACCATCTTCTAGAAGAGAAGGATTCTCTACTATACCTAATGTCAAATGGGAAGATGTTGGTGGGCTTAACGGTCTAAGGCAGGAATTTGATCGATATATTGTTAGGCACATAAAATTTCCGGAGGACTATATGGTATTATTGATAACTGCTATCCCTGTTCCTGCTTCCTGGTTCCTACTCACTGACCCTTTCATTGTCTGCAGATATGTTTGCCCACTCATCAAGCTTTTAATACTAAAAATGATGAACATTAATGGATGTGATGTGGCAGTGCATATCCTCAAGAACTGAAAAAAATTGGAGAAGAATTTATTGTTCTGCCAAGGCTACTTATGAAAGTATTGCTTGATAAATTAAAAGGTTTAATACTTGGAATGTTGAAGCTGGTGGAATCTTAACATATTCCAGTTAGGTTGATTTTAGAAACAAATTGGTTGATGAATGAAAAACCTGTATGAAATAGTTTTGCTTGCACGTGCAGTGGAGGTTTCTTACTTTTCTTTGATTCGGCTCTCAATTCTGTCATTTTTTCTTCAAATCGTTACCATGAATTTGGCCTATGATTCTTCAGGTAAAGTAGTTCTTGATCTATTTGTTATTTGTTAACACCCTTAAATGCTCTTTTTAGAGTGATCCTTACTAAAACTTTCTGAAAGTTTCTACTTGCTAGAAAGGTAAAGTTTTTGTTTGGATTGCAGTTCTAAGTAGGCTGAATACTAATAATTTGCTTTAGGCTCGTAGGCTGCATCATGTTTTGTCCCCGGGTTGAGTCCAATGTGTTTTAGAGCTGATGAATCTCACAGTTGTCTTTTCTTGTATCGTGATATGGCTTAGAGACAATGGACTTGCTTATTTGGCACTCTTGGTGTTTCCTTGGTTTCTCCTTTAAATTTAGGTTGTATTTTTTCTTCAGTTTGTGGTGTTGGTAGGAGGGTAGAAGATAGATTACTGTGACAAGGGGCTTTATTTTCTTGGTTGTAGGTGTTGGGTTGGAGAGAAATTTCTAGGATTTCAAGAATGATTTCTTGCCGTTATTGCTTATATGTGAAGGATGACTTTTTGGCATCTTTTTGGGTTAAGTCATATAGGCTCTTTAAAAATGTCTTTTTTTTTTAAAAAAAATCTATTCTGCATTGATTGGCTGATTATTTTTATTGACTTCTACTGACTCTCCTCTTTTTATTTTGTTGTTTTATCTTTGTTTTGGTTGGGGGAAACTAGTTCTTTAGTTGATCTCTTTTCATCCTTCTAGTGAATAATGATACTTATTTTTAAAAAAAATTAGAAAAGAGGTTTTTTATCTGTGAATCAATAGCATGGTGGATATTTTATCTTTATAACTACATTCAGTTTGCAACAGTTTTCTTAATCTTTCTCATTTTAACAGGACACTGTAAAAAGATCAAACTTGATGTTCCTTTAGTATGTCTATTTCAGTGGCAAAACTTTACAAACATTAGTTCAACAACTGAGATATATTAGTGGAATATAGATGTTGCAGCATAGTTGTAACTTTGTTTATGCTAATTTGTTTGGTAGCTATAGTCGTAGCTTGAGTTTTTGCAATTTCATCTGATTCCCTTTTGTATATTAGTTTTTATCTTGTTGGCTTCAGGTGTAATCTCTTCCTTTCTTGGCACTTGTTTTTGCTGCTTATCTTGATAGACAGCATTCCTGCCATAAAATGAATGTGATCCTAGAGTTCTTTGTGATATCAGGAATTCGGAGTTGATATGGAGACAGGATTTTTGCTTTATGGTCCACCAGGCTGTGGCAAAACATTGATTGCCAAGGCCGTAGCTAATGAGGCAGGAGCAAATTTCATCCACATCAAGGTAATTACTAGTGCATTCTTTTCCTTTCTATTTTTTTAAATGGTTTTGGGAAGTGTCTTCTGTGTTCGGTAACTGTCTTTTGTTCGTTTGCATGCAATTTGCAAGCTCTAGTTCATATTATCTAAAGTTCCATTGACTGGTTAGGGCCCTGAACTTCTAAATAAATATGTTGGAGAGAGCGAGCTAGCAGTTCGAACATTATTCAGTCGTGCCAGGACATGTTCCCCATGCATACTCTTCTTTGATGAGGTTTGTCTTCTATTTTGATATACTTCATCATTATTTTGCATTTCGATTAGGTGCTAGGATTTCATTACAACACCTATTGTTGTTGTAACTATAGGGAGTTTCCCATTTTGGAATCCTAGATTTTCATTTATGTGTGATTTATAGGTTGTAAATAGGAAGAAAAATAAGAAAGTTCTATGACCTCCTCTGCTCTAGTTTGGCTTTTGGTTAATCAACACCCTCTTCGTTATGAATCCCTGACCATCTCCTCTTATGGTGCCTGGAGGCAGAAAGACTGTAGGATTCAACATCTAGTTTATTGAACATCCAGGGATGGTGAGTGGATCTATCTCAAAAGCTCTTGCTGGGTATGGTCTCAGTTCTGCCAAGAGCATCATTCTATTTCTGTGATTATGTTGGGAGAAAGGAATATGGTTTTGAGTGTTATGCATCTAACCTTTGAAATTAGATATCTTTGGTTTCAGATCTTAAGTGTTATAACAATGATCATTCCCCTCCTCAATGAGATGCAGAAGCTTCTTGACCTTTTGGCTGATTCTCTTCTGACCCTTCTCTCTATCTTGTGCATGGCTTGCACCCCCTTGATGCCTTTCTTTATATTACTCGTTTTCTTCTTTGCAAAACAATCATTATCGATTCTTGATTTGTTTTTAGAATTGTCGGGTTCTTTTGGTTACTTGAGAAATTTTGGGTCTTACTGAATGACGTTTGATAAAAGATAATGAATTGTTACTGAACTTTTGAGGTTTTGACATCTCTATAATTATCTTAGGTGGATGCACTGACAACAAAACGTGGGAAAGAAGGGGGATGGGTTGTTGAGCGGCTTTTGAACCAGGTAAATTAATCTTGTGTAGCTGTTATTTTACAGTCTCTATTGGCTACCTCTATGTACTCTCCACAATAATTTATTGCGTCTTGGTTTTAACTAAATGCATGGCTTACAAGTGCAGCTACTCATAGAATTGGATGGTGCAGAGCAACGGCGAGGTGTTTTTGTCATTGGAGCCACTAATAGGTGTGGTTTATTGTCCATTCCCTTTAATATTTGTTCTGATGGTGGTCACTAGTACTGTTTATTTATTCCAGTTGGCATCTTGTTTTGCAGAATTGACGTGATAGATCGTGCTGTATTACGGCCTGGTAGGTTTGGCAAACTTCTTTATGTTCCACTACCTAGTCCAGATGAACGGGGTTTGATCTTAAAAGCACTTGGCCGCAAGAAGCCAATAGATTCCAGTGTGGATTTGAGTGCCATTGGGAGAATGGAGACTTGTCAAAACTTCAGTGGGGCTGATCTTGCTGCACTGGTTTGTTTACAATCTTATCTTCTCTGTATGTTATTCTGGAAGTGTTTGTGAAAACTTTAGTGGAGCTTTTGGCTTCACTTTTCTCAAAATTCTGTCCACAGAATCAATATCAACTTACAATTCATAGGATCTTCTGTGCACAATGTGTATAGTCTTGGTTTGAGGGCTTTAAAGGCTTACAGTTTCTATTAAAATGACTTTAGATTAATGAAGCTGCAATGGCTGCTCTAGAAGACAAACTGACGTCAAGTATGAGCTGTTCAGATCAAACTCCATGGATGATCAAAACGATCCATTTTGAACTCGCACTGAAAAAGGTCTCAGCATCCGTCAGTGAGAAGGTATACTTCCCCTTATAAACGCCAAATGCATAGTGTATCAGGTCCTTTCTGTCTATTCAAGTAGTTGTAACACTATCCTTTTTGGCTGTTATTTGGGAAGCAGCAAAACCTTTATTACCAGGCTTTGTCAGAGAAGTATAAAACAGCATAAGCAGAAATCTTCAATTGCTAATGACCAGGGAAGGAATGCAGGACAAAGAAGCCATGTTGATGTGGCAAGTTTGTTGATGGTCTGATGACTACAGCGGATATATCGAGCATCCAGCTTGTATTTCTGACCATATGGTAAAAGCTAGTTGCTGATTAGAAATGTCCGTTTAGGGGACTCAATTTTTTAACTTTTTTTTTTTGTTCTTTTGGATGCAAAGGGAGAATAATATTCATATTTTTTTAACTTTTACTTAAAATAATTCTTTTTTCCTCTAAATATTCCCAGAGTTCTCAAACCATCTTGTTCTTTATAGTGCTGGTACTTTTTGAACCATCACCCTAAGTCAAAGAGGGGAATAACTGACCACGGTGGTAGCAAACCATAATGTCTAGTTATTTGGCATATCCAGACATCTTAAACCAACCTAAGAAAACACTAAACCACACACAAAAGCAAAAACAAAATTAATTTTATTCATGAGCAGATAAAGGACTACAACCACATAATTTATAATGAAAATGTTTCAAGAAATCTTGTTGAATTAAAGAAGAGAAAGCGAACTTACCGAATTGAAATTTTGGTGATGAGCAACATGGTGGACGCTCATTTAACATCACAAGTAGAATCTGACACCAGTACACACAGGCATGCAGATGTAACACAAAGATCATCATCAGTTGCCTCATTTTTGGTCCAATACTAAATATATACTTACTTAAACATATACATATAAATAATGTATATAAAGGTTTCCTTCTTTGTGTGTGTGTATATATATACAGCTAGCTAAAAATGTATATTTTGTGCATTAGTTTATTTCGTGCTTTCTTTTAGACAGTGAAATGTATCAGTTCTTATCAATCCCCAATGGCCTTTTAGCTTAGAGGCCAACTTTATATCAGCACATTTTTTTGCATGCGTTACATTGCATACACTCCCTTTTAAATATGATTTCGGGTTTAACTTTGTAGATATTTAACAATCATGGTAAACCTGTTTAAAAATTTAATTATGCTTCTTCAGTTTTAAATTCCATCAATTTTTATTTTTATTCAAATTTTATAAAATAATAATATAATGTAACCATAACAAAAATTTTAATAAAAATAGTACTTTAGTTACAAGTTAATTTTATATTCAATTCAAATTAGTATTTTTATTATTTATTTATTATTATAAATTCATAATCATAGAATTGAAAATATCAGAAAATTGATTAAATTATGCATCAAATTTTAAATTATGATTACTGATTTTCATATATTAAATAATTAAAATTTAATAATTACATAAAAACAAAAAAAATAGGTTTAACATGTGCATTTTAGTTTTTTTAACTCTTAACTATTTGATTATATATGTATATCAATGCCAAATTTTTTATTACTATTTTTAATTTTTCTTATATCACATAAAATTTATCATAATGATTACATAAGCGATAATTTTCTAAGAAGATAATTTTTTAACGACCTTAAATATTTAATCATACCTCAATCTTCAAATAAAAAAGACAAATTTTCTCTCTCAAAAACTAAAAATCTTCCATTAGTCTTTAAATGTCAT